CTTTACTGCGTACAGTTGCGTACAGTCAGAAAAACAAAACATGGATTGTTCTTCTTCTTCTTTTCTTCTTCTTCTTCTCCTCTTCTTCTTCTTCTCCTTTTTCTTCTTCTTCTTCTTCTTCTTCTTCTTCTTCTTCTTCTTCTTCTTCTTCTTCTTCTTCTTCTTCTTCTTCTTCTTCTTCTTCTTCTTCTTCTTCTTCTTCTTCTTCTTCTTCTTCTTCTTCTTCTTCTTCTTCTTCTTATTCTTCGTATTCTTATTCTTCTTCTGTTCTCTATCACCCAATAAAGCATAGGTCCTCAACCAAAACTCGCAAAGTTTAATCTTCATTATTGCATGCCGCTCACCCTATGTCCTTATCTTTTAAGCTCACCTTTCTAGTTCCCTTTTGCATGGTTTTTTTTTTTTCTGCCTTTATTTATATGTCCCTATGGTTTCAGTGCAAATACATCCAAGTTATACTGTTCTCAAGTTTTCTCAACATGTGTCCTATCCAAAGCCAGCGTCTTTTCGTCACCTTTTGATCCACTACACAACAGCCAGGGTCTGTTGGGGTTGGTTCTGCAGCGTCCTGTAAATGATACCCAACTAACCTTGATCCACTGGAACTTTCATTCACTTCCAAAGCTTAACATTAGTTATTCTATCTTATTATTTAATCCCCTCTATTTTGCGCGGCCACCAGTATTTTGTAGTTTATTAGAACTGTTTTTCCTGTTCCCGCTCTATACAGTAGTACAAATTCGACATCAGAATTAAAATTGTTGAGTTTAGTATTAGCTTTAATATCTGAGGACGAAAATGAAGGCAAGGCCCTATTAGAACACTTTACAGCAGAAGAGCCAGACAGGCTTGAGAGGTCGTAGCTTCGCCAAAATGGTTTCATCAGAAAGTTCCAGAAAAAGTCTGAAGAAGACATAGTGACAATTGAAGAGATCAAGGCCGTGCTACAATGACCAAAATATATATATATATATATATATATATATATATATATATATATATATATATATATATTCTTCCATCTACCTTTGGAGGGGACCGTCCAAACAGAGAAACCTGGACCAAAGCAGCAGTTTTTACCCATGATGCGTATGAAGGTTTACATTCAGGCATTAACAGGTGTGCGGCTGCTATTGATCTTGAGGATGCATACTACAGAGTACAGTTAGACTTTTTAATGTTTTAACGTCTTGAGCTAAAAATAAGTCAATTTCTTCTGACCTGGATCTCCGCAGCTTTCTTTCAATGAGTAGTAGTTTTTTTTTAGGTGTGGTAGTTGGACTTCCGAACACCTACAAATGTACACTCCGGCCTGCCACAGGAATTACCATTATCTCCTATGCTGTTCAACGTTTACACAGTGAGAATCACAAGTGAGCAGAACACAGGACAGGGAAAGACGCTGTCGTACGATGACGATGTGTTAGTGTATCGGCAGGGTTAAGGCAGAGAGCCGGTTGCTGAAGAACTACAGTCAGAACTCGGCAGCTTAAGCAATTGTTGTGGTTTAGCGAGTGCACTGGTCAATCCAACGAAAGCGGCAGCGTCCTGGTTTTCTTTGAATAACCATACTCTAAACACTCAACGCCAACTTAAGTGTATGCTCAGAGATTTAAAAAAAAAACCCAGACAATGAAGTACCTGGGAATACGATTTGATCGCAGCTTGGCTTATACTGAGTACATAAACAAGGTGATAATAAAAGCCAACGGGGCTTGGCCGCAGCAAACTGTGAGCAGCGTTTATGTCTTTAATATCATGGTCTGGTCCTTTCTGTCTTTGAGTATGCGATGGCGATCCTGACTCTCAGCCATAAGCAGATGGCGAGGATGGAAAGGATTCGGAACTGAAAATGCAGACAAGAAAGTCCAGCCGCTGTTAAAGCAGAAATACAGTCTGTGATTTTCGAGAATTCTCTGCAGGGGATTATGTCATTTACACAGATGTGTCTGTAATTCGCCTTATGAGAAGCTCTTTTGCTTTTACAGTTAGGGCTGGAGTCAGAATTGTGTAGCAAGATTCAGGTGCGGTTGCCATGACTACAAGTGGTCTGACTATGGAGGTCATGGCAGTGACCGAAGCAATAAAATGGCTGGAGACAGACAGTTTCCCGCGCACGCTGTCTTAGTGAATCACCGAGTATGCTCAGGAAAAATGAGAAGGGCTGGATTCGAAGGCAGTGGCTGGAGGCTCTAAAGCGGTCGGGACTGACACATATCAGTGTCATATTTGTTCCCGAGCACGCAGGCGTGCAAGGAAATGAGTAAACGGATCGGCTTGCAAGTAAAGCTACTGTGGAGTTCGGACGAGCCATGGATTCTGCTGACATTCTGACTGTATTACGAGAAGTGAGACGTTTGCAAGAACCAGGTGATGACTGTGAATCTGCAACGATGTTCAGACTGCAAGACCAACATGTTAAAAGGGACGTGGCCAGACAAGAGCACTATAACTCTACCTGTTTGGCTCTTCCAGGATTTTTTTTTTGGCTATTGATTTTACAGGACCGGGTAACCAACCGCCAATCCGACCCTTAGTTTTGGCAAGTCCTTGGCGAGAAGATAAATACAGTCGGTCGTGGTTTGGGTAACGAACTGACCCGCAGTGACCATGTTAATAAGATAACGATTGTAAAAATCACGTGTCCTCTAAACCACATGATAAATTATTTATCATGTTGGTGCAGTGATTATTGTATGAAATAAATGTTTATTTTGTTTATTTATTCACAATCACCTGCAGTGGAATGTGGGCAAGGTATTTTTTTTAATGGATTTGTTTCGTTTAGACAAAAAGAATTCTTAACCAACTTTCAAAAACTGTGATTCGTGTTTTACATTGACCAGTAGTAAACACTGACTTCCTAGCAGGACTTGATCCAGATCCACATTATTATTATTAAACCACATACAAATCCAGAATGGTAACATTTCTCTAATACATTTGTAAATGAACCGTTGCAAAAAGCAGCATTTACATATTAAACACTTGGTTTTTTTGTATACAATAGATGCCGTGACAACTTTATTTTTATAGGTGAAAAGTTTAGTTCCCTCCATTAAATTTATCACGTCGAGTCAGATAAGTCTGAACCGACCGTCCATACAGCAGTGGCAAACTACTGGACGTGAATTTGCCTAGAAAAACCACACAACAGCCAGGGGCTGTTAGGGTTGGTTCTGCAACGTCCTGTAAAGGATACGCAACTAACTAACCTTAGTTTGAGTCTTTTCGTGATTTGTAACCGACTATAAACGGCGTACTCAGTGCCACGCCCTTTGTTGAAACGCTAACGAATTCATTGTTTTATTGTATATGTGCCTACATCTGGCAAATACCATTATTATGTTGATGGTATAACTGGTGTTAGTGATGTGATGCTCCAAGTAACGGTTTATTTTAGTTGATTGATCTGATAATTTCCTGGTAATCAAAATGAGAACTTTTCAGAAAAAGTTAAAAAAAAAAGGTGACAGGATTTTCCATTTCAACCCTCCCTTTGCCAGCCAGGACCACTTCTCATAGACTCCATTAACTCTTTGAGTCCCAGGGGGGTTTAGCAGCACAGGCCCAATGTGTAGTAAAAAGATACTAAAATCGACACATCATGCGTTCATTGGGCTTCTAGGTAAGAACCTATGAACGTATGATGCGTTCTCTGGGACTCAAAGAGTTAATGTTGAGGGGTAGGAAAGACATAAAAAGGTGTTTACGTGAATGAATTTTCACATATGTAAGGACAGCTAGGAAGAGACAGACCCAGAGGCAAATGTAGGTGAGCTTTTGAGGCTAAACTCAAGGCTACGTTAAGGGAAAACTGAAGATAGAAAGGAGGGCTCCGGATCGAATTTAGTGGTGACAGTTTGTCTCTGCCTTGTGTGCCTTTGGGTGCGATGAGGATTGATTGATAGATTGACGTGAATACAAATATATAACATTTCAGCATTATGAGCCCTTGAAGTTAATTACTGCAGATATCACCCATCGATTCATCTCTTATACTAATACTTGGCCTTCACTATCTAGTTTATTGCATCAGCTGCCTTTATATTTTATCCCCACTGTGCTATAACGTTTCAGGTTTGTTATTTGTATAAATCCATTATATTTAGATATCTGTTTCATGATAAAATGAGGTTTTATAATGGTGGGGTTTTGGCCCCCACCTGGAGGACTGTGGTATCTCTTATTTGTCTGTTCTGTACTCTTTGATGGAAGGCCCTGCTGAAATTAGTGCTGCCACTGGCATAGCTCTCAGTCGTTGAGAAATGCAAGCTTCCCCAGTCCTGCAAGGACACCTCCATCATGGAGTGTGTCTCTCAGGTGACTTATGTCCCGCTCCCCCAGCCCTGCAAGGACACCTCCATCATGGAGTGTGTCTCTCAGGTGACTTATGTCCCGCTCCCCCAGCCCTGCAAGGACACCTCCATCATGGAGTGTGTCTCTCAGGTGACTTATGTCCTGCTCCCCCAACCCTGCAAGGACACCTCCATCATGGAGTGTGTCTCTCAGGTGACTTATGTCCCGCTCCCCCAGCCCTGCAAGGACACCTCCATCATAAAGTGTCTCTCTCAGGTGACTTATGTCCCGCTCCCCCAGCCCTGCAAGGACACCTCCATCATGGAGTGTGTCTCTCAGGTGACTTATGTCCCGCTCCCCCAGCCCTGCAAGGACACCTCCATCATAGTGTGTCTCTCAGGTGACTTATGTTCCGCTCCCCCAGCCCTGCAAGGACACCTCCATCATGGAGTGTGTCTCTCAGGTGACTTATGTCCCGCTCCCCCAGCCCTGCAAGGACACCTCCATCATAGTGTGTCTCTCAGGTGACTTATGTCCCGCTCCCCCAGCCCTGCAAGGACACCTCCATCATGGAGTGTGTCTCTCAGGTGACTTATGTCCTTTGACTTTTGCGGCAGAATCTTGGAGGTCTGGGGCGCTACCAGTTGCCAAGCTAATGGCATCTTGAGAATAGTTAAATTCAATTCCATTGCTCTGTAACAATGGCAGCACACACACGCACATATAAATGTTCTTTTTATATGTTTTCCAGTGGTAGTTTTGGGGTAAATATAAACTTTTAAATTTGTGCACATATTGTAGCCAAATTATTGTTGCACTCACATCTTTATTTTGACATATTTTCAGGCTAAAAGCCACTTCAAGAGAGAAGGTAAGTGTGGTTTGCAGCAGATGTATTTTTTCCATTTCTTTGAAATATAAGTATTATGACACGCTTATGCCTGAATTTGTATTTGTATGCCTGTTTATGCGTTAGTTGGGTCCACCGGACAGTTTTAAGATAAAGAAGATGGTGATATATTGGGCGCATCCTGAGGAGAAACAAACATAAAATTACCAAATAGGCACTCGCACAAGAAACAAATAGATTGAGGAAACTCTTTGTGGTGTCCCTGGTCCCATTTTAGGTGATATTTTTTAGTATTCATACAGTGAAAAGGCCAGAATATTTGTTTTTTTAATATTGTATATCCTTCTGATAGAAGCCCAACAGATTAACATTGAGTGGCTAAGAAGCCACTTTTTAGATGCAAATTCCAGAAATCTACTAAGCCACTGAAAACAGGTATAAAACATCTACTGAGGGATCCTACAGTTATGAGGTATCCCGCTGTCCTTTGGGTTGGGTGTCACCTGTATTGTAAGAGAATGGATGCTACAAATGACTTGTAAAGTTTGATTTTGCAAAGAAAGCTGATATAACTTTTTTCATATAGGTTTCAGTCTTGTCATGACATATGGGTCATGTCAGATTAGGGTCATAGCAGATGAGGCCAGCTCAATTCTTGTTTTGGTCTCTTTACTTGATGAGCTGCCTTAGCTGTGTATATTCTATTTCTATTTCTATTGTCTTCTTCACTTTTACTGGGTTGTAGCCCAGTGTCGTGGTTTAAAATATTTTTTTTGAGCCTCTCGCGTGATTTGAGTGACAGTTTTCTGGATCTCTGGCTGTATTCAGCTACTCCATCTATCCATTTTTATCCTTTCTTCCCGATGTTTACTGTAAAAGGCCTTATAGGCAATCTGATCTGGTGCTCTTACTAAATGGCAAACCACTTCATTCTCTGTGTTTCAATATGTTCATGCACGCTCTTGTTCCAACTTTGTCTTTAATGCTGTCGCGTTTGTGACTGTCTCTTTCGTGTATTGTTGGTGACTCGTTTCGGAGACATCGCATTTCACTCGTAGTTATTTTTTGTATATGTGATTTGTTCATTGTCCACGCACTGATAACATAACGTAGGATGAAATGAAAATGCTGTTGATCATCCGTACTGGTAACGAGATCTTTGGATGACGAAGAAGTGGGGCCAGTTTGGTAGTGACTGCATTGCTTTTTAGAACTCTAGCTTGTATCTCTTATAATCGAAGTCTTCCATCTTCTGATAAATGCATGTCCAATTTTGTACAGTTAGTGAGCAATGAATCAATATGTTGTTGTAGTTTTTGTTCTTCTTCTTGTAACAAACATTGGTCATCTGCAAAGAGTAGTTCATTTATAATATCTGTGTTTTGGTTTGACTCCTGTGCAATTTTATCCATATATGTGATATGTATATTGAACCCTAGAAATTTAAAGCTGTACAGAGGGAATTAAATGGTATGACAGAATTACTAATGTGGAGCTTTGGGAGAGAACAAAAGTTCCAGTGAATGAAGAGGGGAGGATGAGATGCCGGTTTTGGAGGACATACATTGAGAAGACCTGGTAATAGCATAATTAAAATGTCCTAACAGTGGAACCCACAGGGTTGAATTAATAAGGGTAGACCAAAAACACATGGAGAAAAGAAACACGATGACATGAATCAGTTGTGGAGACTGGTTTGAGCTGCAGAAGATGTCAGTGGGTAGAATGATTTGGCGGAGTCATTTCAAGGTTTATCCACCTTTGATAAATAAAACACAGAAGAAAAAGATATTTAAAGGTAACATATTTATGAATGATATAAAATGTTTTTTACAGAGCTACAGGAAGCCTTCACCATGAACTGTTCTTCGGATAACACGATTCCACTGAGCAAGTTAGGCGTTGTCCTGCGATCCTGCCGCTGTGCTCCCACTGAAGCTCAGCTACAGGCTTTGTGCAGGGAGTTTGAAAGTAAAGGTAATTCTTTCCCTTTATCTAAACCTCAGCAATTGCATTCATTGGCTGCTAGTTCTTTCTTAAATACATTTATGATAATACCATACTCTTTGTCTTACTATTCTGTCTGTTATCCCCAAATGGAACGTAGACCCTGACAGAACACTTTTACCTGTCCTGTCCTTTACCATCCAGGGCAGCTCACCCCTGAAATCCTCATTCTGTTTTTCATCTTTTGGTCTGCCATATTTCTTTTACCCAGTGCTTTCCAGTACGATGACATTCTAGTTAATGCCACTCACTTTGGAGAAACTTTTAAATTTCCATGGACAGAATTATAGTTAAGGGGAGATGGACTTGTAGATTCCAGTTCTAGTGTATGTGAATAATATCTGGCTAGGAGTGAATGTATAGATTGCCATAAAATACTTATACATGCATAAACATGCCATTTCAAGCCCCCTGGTGGGGGTGGACAGAATAGAATCACTGCCCTCCCTGCAAGAATGCTGTACAAGGTTACTAGTCAGGGAGTTTTCTTTTGAAGTCAGTGTGCATCTAGCATGAGAGACGAGGAACCAACAGTCTGCCTACAAATAAGCCATATAAATAAACAGAATGATATACACACACAAAACTCAAGGTCTGCAACAGGGCTAAATTCCAGAAGTGGACGAACAACCTGAGTATCTTGAGCCACAAACTGTTAATTCTGAGTACATGTTAAAATATTTTATTTTTATTTTTTTGTCAACCTAACAACTATCTTCTTCATTTGTTTGCTTGAAATAAATTATCTATATCTGCATATCTGTCTCTAGTATAAACTTCACTCTCTTTTGTAATTCACTCAATGGCCCATAAAGTCTGGCTTCCACCAGTGTCTCTCCTGGCCATAATTTTTGCCTGGAAATGTTGTATCTGGGACAGCCTTGGAGGATATGATCCATTGTCTCAGGTGCCAGTGCACATGGCTAATTCACTAATGCTAACAACTGTAAAAACAGTTCCATCTAGACATCACATTTATTTATATTTCCCCCTATTATAACTGAAAAGCAGATTTTCCAGTGCATATGCATTTGTGTTTTCAGGTATCCGAACTCTGACTATTCAGCAAGTGGAAGCCATTATAGTCAAGTATGAATTTCCCCCAGAGACGACTGATGCTCTCAGAGAAGCCTTCAGGTAATTTTTTTTTTTTTTAAACAGTAGTGCAGTGATTCCCAAACTGTATGCCGGGGAGCCGCGACCTCTTCACAGGGGCGCCGCGAAATATTCGAAGATAAGCGAGTTTCATTTTTATTTTTCTCGTACAAAAGTTTGGGAAACTGCAGTAATTTTTACTTGATTTTGATATTGATATAAGTATTGACTGAGCAGACAGTTATAACAACCTGCTGAGTGTAAAATTGACTTGTAAAACTAAAACCAGCCCACAAATGCTGGGATTGGTTTTGGGACATTATTTTAAAAAAATGTGCAACTAATATTTTAAAGGGAAAGAAAAGACACAGCAGACAGTCAGTTGTGTCTCAAGTGCACTTTTACAAGTATGAAACAGAATTAATGTTCACCCTTGGCTCCATCCTGCACATGTAACAGTGCAACTCTCACTAGCTAATCACAGTGGCAAGTTACTGGTTATCTGTTGACCGGGCAGTGACAATTTTGCCAGATCATATTTGTATGCTGCCTGTTTGGATGACATGCTTTGCTTCATGGGTAAAGTTTTTGTTTTGGCCATTATAAAATCAGTCTCATTGAGTTAACTGTCAGACTGAATGCATAATGTTGTCTTCTGCCCTTTATCCTTCAATGAGGCCCTCAACAAACTCACGCCAGGTTGTCCTATCCTTTGCCATCGCATGCCGCTCACCCTGTATGTCCTTCCCCCCCCCCTCCCCCCCCCCTTTTTTTTTATTTTCCTAGACAAGCTAGATATTGTGGAAGCCCTTTGGGAACGAGTGAACAGTGCAGATGCGCAGATTGATCATTACGGTCTGAGGAGAATAGCGCTGCGAGGAGTTACCAGGGGATCTAGCAGACGCTGAATACTCAGAGAAAGGGCGAGACAGGTATACAGTCAGACAGTTACTGGTGCCGTGGGAATTGGAACTCCTCCCTTGCTGCTGAAAATGGGGACCGAGCGCTTATGGCAGTGTCCCGAGTGCTGTGATGTCGATTCTTAATTTAACATTCAACTCTTTATTTCCCTTCTGCCTGTAGTTGGTTTGCCTGCTTTCCCACCCCAGGCTGCTTTCTAAAGGTTTGCCTGCTTTCCCACCCCAGGCTGCTATCTAAAGGTTTGCCTGCTTTCCCACCCCAGGCTGCTGTCTAAAGGTTTGCCTGCTTTCCCACCCCAGGCTGCTATCTAAAGGTTTGCCTGCTTTCCCACCCCAGGCTGCTATCTAAAGGTTTGCCTGCTTTCCCACCCCAGGCTGCTATCTAAAGGTTTGCCTGCTTTCCCACCCCAGGCTGCTATCTAAAGGTTTGCCTGCTTTCCCACCCCAGGCTGCTTTCTAAAGGCTTGTCTGCTTTCCCACCCCAGGCTGCTTTCTAAAGGCTTGTCTGCTTTCCCACCCCAGGCTGCTATCTAAAGGTTTGCCTGCTTTCCCACCCCAGGCTGCTATCTAAAGGTTTGCCTGCTTTCCCACCCCAGGCTGCTATCTAAAGGTTTGTCTGCTTTCCCACCCCAGGCTGCTATCTAAAGGTTTGTCTGCTTTCCCACCCCAGGCTGCTATCTAAAGGTTTGTCTGCTTTCCCACCCCAGGCTGCTATCTAAAGGTTTGTCTGCTTTCCCACCCCAGGCTGCTATCTAAAGGTTTGTCTGCTTTCCCACCCCAGGCTGCTATCTAAAGGTTTGCCTAACCATCCTGTGATTTAAAAAAAAAAAAACTCAATATAGAAGGCAGATCGACAGGGCAGGTCCCAGATAGCTTGTTCAACCTCAGAAGCTGTTTTAATTAGGACACTCATAACAGCTGGAGACACCGTTGTGTAGTGGCTAGATGCTTGCCTACAGCTGGAGACACTGTTGTGTAGTGGCTAGATGCTTGCCTACAGATGGAGACACCGTTGTGTAGTGGCTAGATGCTTGCCTACAGATCGCAAGATCATGGCTTTGGGTCCTATCTCAGTAGAGATGGCCAGATCGTTTATGAGGGTAAGACTTTTTTTTTTTTCATATAATACATCAGTTTGTTTTCATCTACTTTCTTCTTCTTCGCGATCACCAGCTGTAAACTCCGGCGGAAAGTTCGGGTTGTTCATCCACTTCTGGACAGCAGTCCTGTTCCAAAACCTGAGTGTTGTGTGTACATCCATTTTACAGATCCGACTCATTTGTGTGCAGACTGCTGGTTCGTTGCCTCTCAGGCAGATGCACTCCGACTTCAAAGGAAGCTCCCTATTAGTCGACTCTTACGACAGGCTTTTGGGTAGGCAGTGGGTCTATTCTTGTTTTCCCCCACGGTGGGGCCTCGGAACCCACACAGGGATGTTTTTTTTTCATCTACTGTATCTGGATCCATCCAGTAACACTTTCACCACAGGAACGCTGAAATATGGACCGTAAGAATTGCCCCCTAAAAAATACAATTCACATAGGGCTGTGTTAGATTTTCAGAAATGAATTTCTCCACATTTTGCACTTTGTTTTGAATTGTGTAAAGATGTGTAGAGGGAGTAATCTTAAAACATGAACACAGTGATGCATAAATTGGAATACATTTCATTATACAGATATGTATATTGACTGACTCATGCTGTGACATATGTTACTGAGGTTGTGGGAAATCTTGACCTTACATTACAGTGGCTCAAAAAGCTATTTGATTCATTTGGAAAATCCCCTGAATGCTATTTTTAGTAAATATCATATCCGGGCTTCCTAAATGCCGTACAGGCGCGCACACACACATACACACAAAAACCAGTGATAGTTAACTATGCTTTTCGAAAAAAGACCACTGCAGATATGCCGATATTTCAGCATTTATGAGAAATAAGTCACAACCGGAAGTTACTACTTAGGCTTCTCATGGCACAAGGGTTAGAAGTACCAGAACAGAATGTTTGAGATGCCACTGTGGTCTCATAACTTGTCAAAGTCCTGATTGTAGCTCTGTTGAATAGGGGATAGAGAAACTCACCTTCGCATAACAAATGCAGCTCTGAAGACTGCGCCTATCGGAATAAATGCGCACCTCTATGATTCCTTCTGTTATTAGTGAAAGCACTGTATGGGGCTCATTTACCCTGGCAGTTAAAGATGTTGTTAAGGCTACTGTGGACAGTAAGGGAAAACTATCACATTATTTATCCCAAGAAACCGATGGTGGTACCTAGAAAGGAAGCACAAAGATAGATCTGATTGTGGGGTTCCCAGGCACAAGGGTATAATTTTCAAGAAAGTGGAAGAAAACAGTGCTAGGGATTTCCATGTGGGTTCCGGGACCCCGTTCTGGGGAAATCAAGAATAGACCCATTGCCTTCCCAACAAGTATGTTGTGAGAGTCAACTTATTAAAGATATTTCCTTTGAAGTTGCATTGTATAGTCTCTTTCGGTTGCCATTATGTGACTACTAAAACACTTCAGTAACATTTAATAACAAAACTGGATATTTGTTTGTAAACATTAAAGTTTAACCATTTGTTTCCTCCCAAGCAGACTGTATGTTACAAGATTAGATATTTGTAAATGCTCAACTTTAACTGTTTGTTTGTAAATACTAAAGTTAAACTGTTTGTTTGTTTGTAAATACTAAAGTTTAACTGTTTGTAAATACTAAAGTTTAACTGCTTGTTTCCTCCCAAGCAGACTGTATGTTACAAGATTAGATATTTGTAAATGCTCAACTTTAACAAACTTGTGTTTGTTTGTAAATACTAAAGTTTAACCATTTTAACCAAGCAGACTGTTTGTTACAAGATTAGATATTTGTAAATGCTCAACCTTAACAAACTTTGTTTGTAAATACTAAAGTTTAACTGTATGTTTTGCAAGTAAATCCTAAAGTTGAACTGTTTGTTTCCTCCCAAGCAGACTTTATAAAGATGTTGGAAGCCGGGTTGTGAACAGAAGATCACAATCTTCATGACCCTGTGGATACTGCTGCTATTGGTTGTTTCAGTTTCAAAGGTTTTCCGCTGTTGTTTTACAACTGCCTGTCACATGACAGCTAGCTGGGATGTTTCTTGCCAGTAATAAATGTGTGGTCACAAATTATTGCAAGCAATTTATGATAATTTATTCATCATTAATAGTTTTGTAATCAAACATTAGCATAATAAAAAATGTTTTTACATTATTGGCAACTTCTGCTACTTTACATTAAGAATTTGTTGTCAGTTTTTTTCCAGCTCATTTCTTTGTATAATGTGTTTAAATTGTTAATTGTGGCTGCTGAGAATAAAGCTAAAACAGTTATTTTACCTTCTGCAGCATATGTTTGATTTATTTATAAGGTTAAGATTCTTTATAAAGACATTCTTAATTGTAGTCATTTCAGTTTTCCGTCATGAACTGAAAAGCGAAATGTTGTTGCTGTGTATAGGGCCAGTTTAACATCTGCAAACACTGTCTTTCAGTGTTGCTTGAGGCTGCATGAAGTTCACTGCTTAAAAGAATTGACAGTGAAAATAATTTATGTTTTGTGTTTTCTATCAGATTCTTATCTCAGATGTATGTTGCAAATACTTTAAACAGTTAGAGAAACTAATGATTACTTTAAACAGTTAGAGAAACTAATGATTGCTTTACTTTAAACGGTTAGAGAAACTAATGATTACTTTGCTTTAAACAGTTAGAGAAACTAATGATTACTTTAAACAGTTAGAGAAACTAATGATTGCTTTACTTTAAACGGTTAGAGAAACTAATGATTACTTTACTTTAAACTATTAGAGAATCTAATGATTACTTTACTTTAAACGGTTAGAGAAACTAATGATTACTTTACTTTAAACAGTTAGAGAAACTAATGATTACTTTGCTTTAAACGGTTAGAGAAACTAATGATTACTTTACTTTAAACAGTTAGAGAAACTAATGATTACTTTGCTTTAAACAGTTAGAGAAACTAATGATTACTTTAAACAGTTAGAGAAACTAATGATTGCTTTACTTAAAACAGTTAGAGAAACTAATGATTACTTTACTTTAAACTATTAGAGAATCTAATGA